TTCCTGCTGCAAGCCAGGGAAGACACTGCAATTCCCCTCTCTCCCTTCCTTCACTCCCTCCCCAGTATTAATTTTGCAAGATGCAAAATTTCTCTCTTTACAGTAGCTGGGCAGGTCCAGTTTGAAATCCACAACTCCTCTTCCTTAGAAGTTCATTGTTAATGGTATTGTTAATATTTACATTGAGACTATTCCATGAAACAGGCAAACAAAACATGTACAAATAGAACATGTAAAAAGAACTACTAATTAATTCCAGACATTGTCATGCTTGGCAAGGAAGCGGACAGATTTTCTTAATCACTTGTAGCAGATGTATTTCAAAGCAATGGAAAATTTTCTTTTACAATTCCTGAAGACCCCTACCAGAGGTACAAAACTCCTTCAAAGGAGGAGATTAAAAGCACACTGGAAGCAGCATCTACAGTGTTAGTGATCTCAGGACAGTGAGTCAAGAATGGGGAGCAAGACACTGTTAGAAACCACACTGAGAAATAACATATGTGACCAGCATGGCCAGTTCCAGAAGGGAAAAGGGTAGTGAGTGACATCATTTGACTCTAAGTGGTTCAGTAGAACTATAAATTGTAGTCATATTTCTAATATTTCTAAGCTGAACTCCACCATACAAATTAGCTGAAACTCATCTAGGACCTTGAGAATTTTACAGATTAATGACTTGCCAGACAGAGATGTTATTATGGAAATACCAGATGTGGAGACAACAAATGAGATTTCTAGGAAATAAATTTGAAAATAAAATCAAATCAGGATTTTCTAAGGACAAAGGTTACTGTTAAAGCAGGTTTGCCTGCCTCCAGCACAATAGATTCCTCCTTTCTGGAAGCATTCTCCCAGCCAGCCAAAATAACTTGGAATAATTTATATGTAAAATATTCATTTATCTGTAAACTAATTGGAACATTTTACATGACAGAACGTGCCAAGGCAGAAACTGTTCCCCACTATTAGTCCCATCACAATCTGCAAGTTGTTTTTTTCCATTGAACAAAAGAGATACAAAATAACACATTGTCCACAGGTGATTTAAAAGAAACTCAGTAGTTTAAAGAGCACAATCAAAAAAAGAGCAAATAAATTAAATATGGCAGTAGACTGATGCTTATCTTCTCATTAAGAAGTGTCTCAGTCAAAAGAAAAAAAAATAGCAAGAGTGATATTCTTTTCCTATATTTGAAAGCTAACAAGTTTAATAGTACATAATTTTCATGCTCATAATCATGAGCTCATAATCATGCTTTGAAAAAGGAGCCAAGGTAGCACAGGCCCCTGGTAATGAAACAAAATTCTTATCTTTAGGTCACCAGTTAAATCACTGACAAGCTCAATTCATGCTTAACACACTAACAACTGATATGGCTTCAGTCTATTTGAGGCTGTAAACCATGCTCCTCACCAGATACCAGAGTGCTTAGTTGGTGGTCTTCATCTTCTTCCTTTGCCCGAAGCAACCAGAAACTCACAACACAAACACAAAGCAAAGGGGCCAAAAATCAAGCAAGCAGGAGGAGCAGCCACACTCACAATCAGGTCACATCACTTGTGGTCTCTGGCATCTCTGTCATCTTCTGTCCCATTGCATTAGAGCCTGAAGAGAAGCTCTATAATGCAATTTTTTAAATAATTTCTACTAAAAAATTGATGATCCTGAATTCAGACTTCTTTTCTGAACAACTAATTGATACTTGTAAAGCTAGATGTGACACGTTTGTTTTATATGGTCTTAAGGTATTTTACCAGGCACTTCTTGCCTTCTGCAAGTTGTACAACTCACTTTTTAAATTCTAGAATAGTCAGTAACTAGGGGGGGAAAAAAATGTCAGGCCGACTTTGTGACAAATTTGAAATATTGCAATTATGTAATCTTGTTGCCAGAGTTTCCATCTGCCTGGTTGAAAGAAAGGCTAATGAGAAAAGGGATTCTGATCCAAAGTACTGTCCACTTTAAAAATAATTTGTAACTGCAGTAACATCTTAAAACTTTAGTAATCTTGGGAGATTAACTTTTCTCTACATGAAAATCAGGCTTTATCTCCACGGAACTGCTTTCTTTGTAGGAGTATGAATTTGTAAGGTTTTAAATGGACTTTGCTGACTTTATAGACCACTGTAGGGCTAAACAGACCAGATAGTGCAAAACAAACCAGATCCATCTGTCTGAGGCTTACTAGGACAGACTGTTTGTTTAAACAAAAAAACAAATCACAAAACCAAACCCCCAAAAATCCTGCTCTCGCTCTCCATGAGACAGACTTTCATGCCACACCTTTTTGCAAAGTCTTTTCAGTATTTTTTTCAAGCTTTGTTCTATTTTACCTCTTTCAGAATAGTTTTCTAAGCCTGTGCCTCCTCGGAGGCAGCCTGTCAGCTGTGGGGCCATAAATACTGATGCTACACAGGCCTTTGGAATACCATGCCTGGGAGCAAGAGAAAAGGAAGCAGAACTTGTGCACTTAAGGCGCACGTTTGAAAAAAGACAACTTGGATAGGTCACAATTATACTACATGAGGATGGCTTGCTGATTTATTTGATATTTAGCTTGGGGAAGAAAGGGAAAGAATCTATTATCAGGGCATCTACAGATGTCCTTGATTTTAAAGCATTCCTGCAACACTTAAACTTTTGGGTCTGCTGGGGAGGTAAAAAGGTTAACTACTGTAAAATCAGTCTGATCTTTGTCTAAAGATAAAAAAAAAAATCATGAAACAATCACTTTTTTAAGGCTAGTAGTGATCTTCATATATAGGTGAATTGGTTTTTAATATTCAGAAAACCAAACCGTGTTTTCTCCTGGCCACTTGTGTAGCTTTCTATATAATTTATGAAACAGATTGCTATACACACACAGATGAAAATTAAGCAATCCCCAAACTGTACTGTACAATTCTTAGTTCTTACAAATAGATTTTCATGATTTACTCTTCTGGAGAAGTTTTCTTTATCTGTTTTAAACAGACTAAACCCAACGCTATAGAAAAAGATGAGAAGACAGAGGGTACAGTCAAGGTCACTCAACAACAAATAATTTCAAACTCTACCAATCTTTGCAGATGAGCTCTTAAGGAGTTAAGGAATTTTGTGGTTTAAACCTAAAGCAAAGCTAATCATTTTGGCTCTGTTTAGATAGTGTCTTATCAACAGTGAAAGTCAGGAACACAACAAAATATTGAACCAGCTCATAGTTTACCTTTTCCTTAAGGTGCTGAGAAGATGGTGTTGCCATTATTGTCACCAAAACCTTCATTAGCTGCAAGCTAATTTCTTTGCAGTCTTCCTGGCATACTTCAATCAATGCTTGCACACAACAAAGCAACTGCTCCATATAGAAGACCTATTTTTAAATAAAGACACCATTTTATTATGTTTTGTTAGGAATTATAACATTCTCTTTAAGGAAGAGATACTGGGACTCTGTAATCCCCTAAACTGAACTGGTAACACTGATAATTTTATATAACTGCTTTTGATTACCTGAGTTCTATGTATTACAAAATAAAATATAATCTTCCTCCCACACTGTATTTACCTTGTCCTGTTAATAAAATAAATGACCCTGCATTTTAGAATGCTTATCAATAGTACCTTTTCATTCTGAAGTAGAATTTGTTAATTAATACCATATTTGTTGTAACTCTTTCAACTATTCTATGTTTCCCTATTTTGGATAGATCATAGTAAAATCCATAAACCAAGAAAACCCAAGCATCTGCTTTTATCTCAGCAATATAATTGATGTTATCTTGATCCAGCTGATACCAATTGAAGTCAATATTGTCGTCAGTTTGCAATATACTATGATCAAGTGCATCAGACATTCCATGAAGCTGTCAGATTACATTGAACGAACAGAGGAGGCTATTGTTTCAAATTTCCTTCCAAAAAATAAATCAAGTCTAGGAATAGGTTAGCTATAAATGTTATTAATCTCGTGGACACGGTCAATCCTTAGCTAAACAGTGTGTATGCAGCATTTGCTGTCTAAAATAGGAAAAGATTGTTTTCCAAGACCAAAGGCTGGAACAATTCTGCCAAATCCTTCAGCTGCAGATGAATGTGTCTACTGTGTCTAATGCCAAATGGAAGTGGTGAGCTTAAGACCTTATAGCAATTTTGCAGATACACTTCAGGGAACTGTTATTTGAACAATCATGTTATAGTGCTTCCAGTTATACGAGTTCCTAATCATCACAGGCTTCTTGGAGATTAAGGTTAATTCCTGAATCTCTGGCATGTATTCCATTAGGGAAGAAACCTAACGAGGGCAGAACTTCAAACATATAACATTGGTTTGAAAAGACAATTAGACTAGATTCAGTCTACACACATGAATAACTGTTTTAAAGAGAAGTCTGCACCTGACATGAAGTCAGAGCTTCCTGAAGGCACCACACTGGCCCTTTTTTGGTCATCTTAAGAGCAGAGGCCTAACAAACTTTCAGTGGAATGAAAGCTGGGATTTCATCTGTGGGGAAATGGTAGGGATTCTTCTTGTGCACAGATCTATTTCCACATCCAAACAACTGAAGGGGTGGGGGAGAAAATCCTGGAAGTTAAAAATCTCCATGCCACACTGAAGAGAATCTCTCACTTCCTTATATAGCAATTAATGAATATTCTACAAATGTTGAAATGCCAATGCTATCCAGGCTCAGCCATTAGTTAAGGGTACACTTGGGAGTACATTTCTAATTTATAAAGGTCTCCCTCCTAGCTTCGCACTTAAAGAGAAGCAACCAGGCTTAACAGTTTACAAAGCATGTTCCTAAATGTACACATAAGAGTACTGGTACCTTCCTCAAAGTAGAAAACAACAATAAGAGAAAACAAAAATAAGAGGATGATACCAAGAGGAAATATTTTTCGGAAACATGACATGGCAATTACAATGGACTGTGAAAAGTTGTTGGTAGTTTTTACTGCTGAAGATCAAAACATATGATCTTGTTTGTACTGTGAACACAAGGCATTTCAAAATAATGTGTTAAATTCTGCCTCTGGATCAGCCAAGGTAGTCCTCTTATCAGTACAGCTATATACTAAACAGCTTCTTCTCTCCCTGGCTGCCTTTTCATTTTCCTCCCACCCTCTGAAGCCTTTTATAGGAGTCCTCAAACCCCCCTCTGCTGAGAGGATGGATGGCTAGCAAGTTTTTGGGAATAGCATATCTGACTAGGAGACATGTCCCAGGGAGGACAGGGAAGCTCCTGTTTTGTCCCAGACACACGTCCACAACTATATCCTGAGATAGGGTGGGGTGGGACAGGAATGGGAGCATTTGGGGAAAACACGGGAAAGAACAATTTGGAGAACCACCAGGCTAAAACTGTAGCCTGCTGGGTGTTTTCCACACATTCTACTCACCTCTCCAGACTGCTGACAAACTCCAGCTTCTGACAGCGTGTTGCCAAGATGAGCCAAATGAGGCTGTAAGATTTCTTTTGTGCTACCTCGAATGACTGCAGTTAGAACCATGACACATGATGGCTTGGGTGTCTTCCCAAAGGCTGATGTGATTAATCTCAAGGACACCTTGGGGCTGACAAACATTCCAATCAATTCTGCTGCTTTCACACACTGAAAAAAGAACAGGAATAACTTGAGGATTTTCCAGAAAACACAAAAAACCATTCAACATATCACAGGCTTTTTCTTTTTATGATTCCAGCTGTTATTTTAAATGCTTCAGCAGTTGCCTTGTAGGCCTTTTCCACTCGCCCAGTAATGATTATATGCATGAAGAAATGTTCTTGACATGTGTTCAGTAAGCATGTAATAAGGCATGTGAGCACTCCCATCAGCATCAGACAAACTTCCATGAGAATGTAATGCCCAGAAATTAAGTGTACAACTTCCAGTCTAATCAAGTCTCTAGCTTAGAATAACCAGATGTTGCAGATTTAGTGGTTTAGCATTTTGTCCTCCAACTGCTGTTCTGAGGCTTTCAATGCACCCACCACTCATCTATTCAAATCAACAATAAAAAAAATAACTGGAAGAGGAAATTTTTTTGTTGTTATTGTACTGTATCTGGCAGTGATATTACAGATCTGATTTAGTGTGGAAGCACTGCTGAGGGGGAACTGGGTGGAATAGGTAGAAAGGGATAACAGAGTAAGAACTGGAAGAAAGGGAGGAACAATTCAGGAAAAATTAAAGGAGAGAGACAAGAATTGCTACTAAGAAAGACTACAGACAATAAGAAACTGCGGAAGAAAAAGGATCATTTCAGAAACAGATTTCACAGTTTATTACAGCTCAACTGATAGGAGGAACCTAAAGAAAAGCCTGACTTAAATCAGTTTTTCTGAGATGGGCTTGACTATTTGCATTGAGTAAGCAGAAAACTTCTCTTTCAGTTTCCCAAAGTAGTAATATTTGCAGCTTTAAAGAAAGTTATGTGGATTTTTTTGCTATACTTATGATCTATTGTGTAGAAATAGGAACAGAAGATTTTCTTTTAAAATTGTACAAATGTTTGTATTGACTGTTTATCCTCTGCTAAATTTATGTAATGTTTGCAACTACAAGTGTTTATTGATACTGTTGGTTAAAGTGTTGACAGCATCAACTGCTAGGAAGAAGGATACTAGTTATTCTTCACAAAAACCATTAAAAAAAGGCATTTTACAAGCATTAAGTCAAGTATTCAAACACTGAACACAGGTATCACATAGAATAGACATACCTCAATGTTTGGTTGGAATTACAGTTGGATTATGAAGCAGAGGGGGGATAAGTGAAATTAACTTCAAAGGGCATGACCTGCACATTTTTGTAAATGGAATCTGTTGCCCCAGGGCTTTTATACTATAATCCACTGCTTATGTTTTTTAAAGAGATCATTATCAGTGCTTCATGGGGTTGACACACCAACTAAAGGGTATTTAAATACAACTTTATTATTTGTCTTCATACCAGCAATACAAGAATACATTTATTTTAACACAGTATGTGTGTATAATGTTCACATGTTTTTAACATCCATAAAAACCTGATCCTGATCCTTTAGTCATGGGCAATTTCCAGTGACCTAAGGTAAGGTCAACACTCAGAAGACTCAAGACTATAAAGGATAGGGTCTTTATTCAGTGTACAGTAGATACTTACATTTTTAACCACGTTTCTTTCTTCATCCAGGCATGCTTGGTATAAAGTTCTAAGCAGCAGCTCCATGTGCTGTGTTATGTGATCCTCTGCATGGAGCAGTAATGTGTACAGGAGCTGGGATGCTTTGATTCTGGTGCTTTCAAGCCAGTCTGTCATGTCATGGCATAGACCCGGAAGAATTTTGGAGAGGTTTCTTGACACAAGTTCTCGACAACCCAGTCCTGGTCGAGTCACTAGAAAAGAGCAAACAAAGACAAAAAAAGAAGGAAAAAAAAAATATCAAAGAAAAGGTCAATGCACATTAAGCAATAGAATAATTTGAAGCCTCTGAGATAAGAGCTATGGGTGTCTGCTCAGCAAGCAACAAAATACTCCCAATTCTGCTGAGGAATTTAACTGCACAAGCTGCATTTCTTCAATATAAACTGCAGAATTTAAAAAGCTTCCTGAAATGTATGTATTTACTGCTGGATGGTGATGTAGATTACATGTTTTAAAATGTTTACAAAATGGGAAGAGAACTTACATGAATCTGGGACATTACCCACTTCAGAAAACACAGCTTAGTAATTTCCTTTTAATTTTTAAAGCAACACAAATACCACTTAAAAAAATAAACTGAAACACACAGAGACAAACCTAAATAAATACTTGTGCATGCAAACATTGTGATATCACTGAGTTACATGTAATTTGGAGGGGGAAAAAAAGGTAGAAGTTACAAATACTGCAGGGGATATGAACTGCAGTAAACCAGACAATGTCAATTGTGCTATTTTAAGGATAAGATTAAGTGTATCTAGCAAATTAAAAGTAGAAAGGGTCCTATGACTTCAACAAGTGCTTTGTAATAGATCAAGCCAACAAAATTGATATTATTTTTAAAATCACAGCTGTATGTAAGCTCTTCCCTAAGGTCTTTTCAGCAAATGGGGCTCACACTGTTATGCCTCTTGAATCTCTGCCTGATTGCTATATTAAATAACACATTTCAAAATGAAGTAAAAGATTATATAGGAATTGGGGGAATCTCTTCCCCAGATTAAATTTAATTTGCAAAGCTTTTGTGGAAAGTGGGTTTTTGTTGTTATATTTTGTTTTTATACAAAACCCAAAAGTGTTACAAATACATATTCCCTACCTCAACAGAGCATGCAGATTTCCAGGGAACTAATAAACTTAATTTCCCCAACAAATACTTACTACCCTGTATGGTAATCATCAAATTAACATCTTGTCTCATTTATAAAACACTGAGACTCAGAGACTCAAATATTGACCAATATCACAAGCAACTATCAATCCTCCACTTCTTCACTTAACACAAAGCTAGGACAGTGCTTTCCAATAAACTTTTAAAGTGACTTTTTCTACAGCAGAATCTTTTTTTCCTTTACATTGTACCTGCTTATACAGAAAAAATCTGAAAAGTTCTTCTCTAAGAACCACCAGTTTACTATGGCCATTTACAATGTCCACATACTGTTTTAAGAAAGAAACATTATTCATTATGAGGTGTCAAAAATACTGAATGTGTGAGAACATTTTTTATTTCTGGTACAAAGTTCTCCTGTAAATGCTTAGAAAGGAAATGACTGAGCTGTCTCTGAATATTTTCCTGCACTGGTCCATGTAACTACAAATGCTGAAAGGAAAACAGACTGAAGCAAATGGCCTGAAGAATACAAAAGGCTTATAGAAAGAACCTATGAAATACCTAGAGTAGGAAAAAATAAATTCAAGCATCAGGATGTGAATTGCTGCTTCAATGAAGTAGAACATTTTGGATTATGAAAACTGACAAAGCGAATAGCAAAAGGTCAAATAAAGAAATCAACTTGAGACAGCAAATACAGACTGGCATTCTATTTGACCTGAGGCAGAATTTGTTTAAAGAATTTGGACCATTCTTTATCAGTAGTTCCTTCATTTCAGATGTTCAAATGCAGGCATTTATCCCTGTAGCTACTCCTGTCAAAGACTTCCCTGCTATAAACTGTCTGCACCTGTGTCCTAAGGCAACGGCTGCTGCTGCTCCATGGAAAGCTATTCAGTTGGCTGGATGACACCAGGTATGAGGTCTGACTCTACTCTTCCTCTGACCTGCAATATCTGTCATCCTGAGATCAAAGCACAGGGGGCTCATTTGTCACTTTCATTAGCTTGACAGTTGGACAAAGATAGTTAAGTAAAATGTACTATAACTTCACAGTTATAAAAAGAGATATTCTAGGACATTGAATAGGTCAAAAGCAAGAGCAATGAGGTGTTAAAATTCATTACTCTAATATTATAAAAAATACAGATGTGGAGAGGAAACATGGGGGGATGACAGGCATAATAACAACTCATCAATGTATAATCTCTGATAAGACACCACAAATTATTACTTGGAACTAAGGTATCCTAGTGTCTCTGACAAAGTTTTGCATCTGTAAGGTCAGGTAGATGGTCACCCTTTCCTCTCACTTTTTTGTCCCATAAAGCCTTACTATTAATAGGACAAACAATCTGGAAGTAAAGATGAGCAGTAGGAAATGGCATCTTAAAGTCATCATCAACTTGGGACTCAAGTGTGGACACAAGTCACATTAAAGCCCTCAGTGCCTACCCCGACCACACAGGATGCATGAAAATGCAATTAAATGCAGGGCTGGAGTGTTGCCCAAATTTGTGGAGCATATTTATAAAGCTAAGAAGATTATTTCAGAAAGTTCACATCATGTAATTTATGAAGTAATTGATAGATGTCCCCTTCTAGAAGAACAGTCCACATAGGCACCAAACCCAACACCTACCTAGAGAAAAATGAGCACAAATAATGGTATCAGCAATACAAGTGGTAACAACTGTTTCAAGCACTGGCCCATAAAAGCCTCTGATGACCTTCAGTTTATTACGGTTATTACAAAGTAACAGACTGAAGCTCAGACACTCAACTCAACAGTTTATATACATAAAAAAATCTCTGACTGACTGCCAAAAAGAAAAAAAAAAAAAAGTATGTTTCTGCCATCACTAGTGGAAATAAAAGCATTCTTTGCCATTTCCAAACCCCTGAGGTTATATTATACATAAAATTAGGAAAAATACCAAATGGAAAGGTTAACAGATCGACTTGACTGTCTTCAAAGCTAAACAGTTCTGTCAAAACCAGTCACCATTATGAAGTGCTTCCCCTTTCATTCAAGCATTATGGAGTAAAGCAACTTTAAAAGAAGAAAAAAAAAAGTAGTCTAATTTCAAAGGAGAAAGGACTCCGGAACCCACTGTCATGGAAAGGATTTTGCTGCTGGGTATTCTGTGATGTGATTGTCAGGTAGGCACAAGTCAAGCATGAACCTGTTTTTTAACACCAAAGGAGTTTTTGTTCTGTTAAATATGAGTATAGATATCAATAAATGACCCATTTAAACCCTCTCACCAACAGCCAAATGCATATTTTTAAACATTAACTTCATGAACCTGAGACAGGAAACAAGCTCCAAGCTACTGCAAACACGTAGTTTTAAACCTACCTACAAATCCCACAGTATTAAAATAATCTACCCATGCTGCATATCTTGGGCTTTCATATGTAGAAAAGAAAATTATTATTTCTGTTCCCATATTCCCCATGTGTGCTGACAGATTTTAGTCACACAAAGAAGTCTGAAACAATTTCACTGTAAATATCTCTTCCACACTAATTCTGTGGCTCATCAGTGCTGTGTCTAGTTCTCATTACTGAAGGACTCAGCTCACAGGTTCTTTCATCCTGCCTTCCTTCCTGTCATCTTATGCCCATTCTTCACCTGGCTCCTGGTTACTGACTTTCTGCTGCTTCTGCCCCACTACTTTACCTCTATTTCAGCATAGCCATTTTCTTTTTCTTTTTCTCCAAAGTGCATTTTGGGATTAATGAAAAAACCAAATGTAGTTACTTAACATTTAAAAAAAAAATAAAATAATACCATAGAATCATAAAGTGGTTTGCATTGGAAGGGAGCTTATAGATCATGCAGATCCAACCTCCCTGCATGGGCAGGGACACCTCCCACCAGATCAGGTTGCTCAGAGCCCCATCCAACCTGGACTTGAACACTTCTAGGGATGAGGCTTCAATATAAATCACTTTATATACACATATTCTATATGTTATCTGTTTTAATACATATACTACCCATATATGTTATGTAATATCACATCTTGTAATTAATATTACACACCCTCCTCTGCTGTCATTACTGCACTGCAGCTCTCAGGGATTATTCAGGAAGTAAAAACCATTTTCAATTTAACCCTTACCTCCTTTGGGATAATGAGATGGTGAAACACTAAAATCCATCTTATCCTTCAGTTCTTCTTCATTCTCCTTCTCCCACTGCAAGCCTATTTTTTCCCAGTAAGTCCAAGCCAGTTTCCTAGACATAAAATAAGGGGTTTATACCATCATGCCCCCAAAAGAAAATAATTTAAAAATTAGACTTCAGGAGACTCTGACTTCTTAAATTCAGCTGGAAGGATGGGAATAATTCCTGCCACTTAACCTAGGCAGGTTAAATTGACAGTTTATGCTTCCTTTTTAGCCTATGGACAGAGGTCACCATTTCCAAAGGGGAATTTTGTCTCTGCCTACTTCTCTTTGTGTCTCTCAAACTTACTTAAAAGTAGGATAAAAGGACACTGTAAGATAAGTTGCTGAAGATAATGCTATAGTTTTGATTTGATAAAGAAAAACAAAGTGGTTTTCTTGTTTTCCTCTAAGTGATACATCTGTGAACACAGAAACATTTCCATGTACAACTACTGAGGGAAAAAAACCCCAAAACAGAAAACAAAAAGAGTTCTGCTTACGTATTCTCTGGAATTTCATCAGTAAAGCTGCCAAGTAACAAAGGGATCAACTTGTGAAAATATGAGTATCTGTCTCGTAGGTGCAACAACCATTCTCCAATGACAGTTGTTACAGCCTGGCGAACCTGCAGGGACACATTTTACATCTGTCAGGAAAATACCAGAAAAGTTAAAAGAAAACCCATTTGCTTTGGTATATAAGACTTGGTAAAATGCAGCAGCAGTGTCAGAAGAAATGAAAAGAACTCAGGACTTCCTCACTTGCAGCAAAGCATCTGAAGCAAGAGACAAGATATCATGCTCCCTCTGGTGTTCTCACATTGGCTGAGCTGGTGTTGGATTATTTGCTGCACAAAAGCACATATGAGAGGCAAGAAAAGACACAGACCTAACTCAGTAAACCCCAAATTCTCATGGTTAATGTCTCTCTGAACATGTAAGAAAAGTACATTTCTTTGGCATTTGAAGCTTCCCAAAGGAAGCATAAGTTACATAATATTCATGCATCCACTTAGAAGTTAAAACATTTTAATTATTATTAAGTTGCACATTTTTAAATTACTGCCTCAGTTGCATCTTGTGAAGGGACCAATACCATAAGCGTTTGTTAAGCATCTGCAAAGGCCAGACAATCAAGTCCCAGAGAGACCTGACAGAAGAATTTAAGACAGAATTGAAGGCACCCATTAAAATACAAAGGTGCCTACAAACTTCAACAGCCTGCAGAATCAGACAGCAGCTGGACAGGTGACCAGTGTTGGTTTTGGGTAGGTTACAGTTGACCAAGCCTGTATCTGGCAGATTTACATATCTCAACTGAATGAATGAAAGGTGAAAATCTGTAGGGGAAGGTGTGTTGGAACACCAAAAAAAATCCCACCCTGAAACGGATTAAAAATAAATCCAGGAATTAAAAAAAAAAAAAAAAACACAAAAAAAAACCACACCAAAAAAAGAGAAGAAAAACACACCTTGGGAATCTCATCAAATAATCTCTGTGCCAGATGAGACAGAACATCATCCACAGACTTCCCATTTCCAAACTGTATCACTGCTCCAGTAGCCTGAATTACATCCACACGAACTCTGTAGTGCTGGTGTGAAATTGTTTGCATTAGGGGATTTATCAGAGACTCTGACTGCATATGGAAGTGCTCTGTTAGGGCAGAGAGACAGACACTTCAAACACACCTTTGGTGACAGATCTTCATAGAATCACAGGCTGGTTTGGGTTGGAAGGGTCCTTTAAAATCATCTAGTTCCAGCCCCCCTGCATGGGAATGGACACCTCTCACTAGACCAGGTTGCTCAGAGCCCCATCCAACCTGGTCTTGAAGACTTCCAAAGATGTGGCCTCCACAGCTTCCCCGGGTAACCTGTTCCAGTGTCTCACCACCCTCACACTAAAGAATTTCCTCTTCATGTCTAACCTAAATCTCTCCTCTTCCATTTTTAATCCATTACCCCTTATCCTCTTGCCATAGACCCTTATAAAATGTCCCTCCCAAGCTCTCCTGTAGGCACTTCAGGTACAGGAAGGCTGCTATGAGGTCTCCACCATGAGACCCTCCAAGGCTTGCAACATGCCCCTCTGAGGGTACATGCACCTTCTCATCTCTCTTCTTCTTGTAACCATCTACGGGTCCCTACCTCAGCCCCTGACCCCCAGGAGCCCTCAGGCCCCCCAGGACCCCGCAGGACCCCCAGGACCCCGCAGGCTCACAAGGTCCCACCGCTGCCCTCCTCTGCCCGTCCCCAGGCCCCACCTGGCATGGCCTGGGCGCAGGCCACGGCGCACCTGCAACTCTCACGCCTGATCTCGGCATAGGGGTCGAGAAGGGTGGCCTGGAGGATGCGGACAAGGTCGGAGAGGTACGGGGTGAGGGAGGCCCCGCACCGCTGCAGCAGGAGGCCCAGGAGCTGGACGAGGCCGAGGCGCAGCTCCTCGCTGGGCTCCCAGCCCTGCGGCGGGCAGAGGCGCTGGGCCAG